TAAGATTACAAGTATGTGCAGGAATGGAAGAGGTGAGCTGGTGCAGGCAATGCATGGGAGAGCCAAGCATGCCCTTTCCCATGTACTGGTGAATTTGTGCCTGTAAGTTTGGTACAAGTGAACACGAGAGTGAGAAGTGTCCTGTGATATCCTTGAAGAATAAAGAAAAAGCTATTTTCCAACCTCCTGGCTGGTTCAGAGGGGCACGCAGAATCATCTGCGCATTGGTTAGGTAGCTCTGTGTGTGCCTCTAAAAGCTTATGGGGTAGGCGTCCCACTGCCAATTTAAAAGGATTAGAGATAGGATTCAGGTAAGTTATGAAGTATTCATGGCTCTCCTTAGTTAATCAAATGAAAAGGGGGCAGTGGGCTTGATCCATCAGGATTAATACCCCTGAGCAAGAGATCCCTGGGTGCAGTGGATCTGATGTGAGAAATCATTAACAAGTATAGAGAGGTAGCAAAGAAATGGTCAAATGGTGTAGCTGAGGAAAAGCAGTAGCTCATAGGATATCAGGCGATGGGATTTAAATATGAGGAAGGGTTTAGCAAGAAAAGGCTTGGCCTCATCCGATAAAGAAATAATAAGGATCTCTCTCTCTCTCTCTCTCTCTCTCTCTCTCTCTCTCTCTCTCTCTCTCTCTGTGTGTGTGTGTGTGTGTGTGTGTGTGTGTGTTTTGCAATTTTTAAAGGCCGAAGGTGTCCTCCATGGGGCCTGACTGGAATTTTGTCTATACCAAGGTTTTGGAGTATTGATTTAGTTGCAAGTGGGACTGAGGGAGGTGTAGGAGCATTTGAGATGAAGTTACCTCACCTGGTAGCACTGTGTCTTTAAACCTTTGAATACTGTCTCAAAGCGACATGGAAGGATTAGCCCAGACTGTATTTTTGCAATCTATGGCCATGAGCTAGTTACAAATGTAATATCCAGTCGTACATACATCTGGACAGCAGCGGCCTGTATGTGAATCAGGGAAATCAGTCATCCTATGCTGGGAGCTTCTGTTCTAATCTTGGTGGCCTCGACATTATTTATCAGCCACTCACCCTTTATTATTGTGACTTTTGCAACGCCTCCCTTCCCTTCTATCCATCCCCTAGTCCAGTTCATTTAGCAACCGTTTGTTTGTGATCTATTATTTAAGCAACTGCTAAGTTTTAATGGCAAGCTATGATAGTCACATGGTATAGGAACAGAGCTGCTTTAAGTAAAAAGTGAGAAGTTCTTAAGACCATTTTTAACAGTTCCTTAAATAGGAACAACCTTAAAACAATCAAAACAAGTGCTTTCTCTTGGTGAATGGTGGCTAGTCAGAATTCTTGGACCTGATGCATTGAAATATGTGGAGTTTTATGTTCCGGGTGTGTCTGAGGTTGTCTGAGTTCCTAACCCTGGTCTCAGCTGGGGACTTCTGCTGCTAAAGACAACTGACAAGATCCAGATCTCTCATGTATCTGCTTCCAGGATTTTCCTTCAGAAGCAGCTCCAGTGGTTTCTTTCTTAGGGACCCCCTGGCTAGAAGCTGGGTAAACAAAACATGTCTACAGGAGGTCAGGTCAGACTCAGGACCGTTCATAGACTTGCTAGAAAACTCAAGGGAGGCATTCAGCTTACACAGACACAGCCTCCCGCCTTCTCACCTCCACACTCCATTTGAAGCCTTTGATCCTGCTTTTTGGAAAGCAGACAGAAGAACAGCTGCCGCGGGCTGATCACAAAAAGTCCAAAGATTGAGTGAGATAATGTTTTTAGTGAGTTTGATCCATTTCACATTTGTCTCCTGGAGTTTTCAGAGGATGAGTTACACACATGTGTGTGCGTGCTCTCTCTCATTTCTCTCTCTCTCTCTCTCTCTCTCACACACACACACACACACACACACACACCCCCCAAGTCAGCTGATACTCAGTCCTCACACATGAGGTAGTATTTGACTATGTCCCATGTATGACCTCTCATATCCTCTGTCTCTTGTTAAGTGATGATACAATGTCAATGCAATATGAAGAGGTATGTACAGTATTATCATGAAATTTGCTGGAAAATGGATGCATCTGGAAAGTATAAGATTAATGAAGGTGACCCAAACTCAGAAATAAAAAACTCCACATCTCTTTCTCATATGCAGATCCTCGCCTTAATGTATACATGAATGTGTGGGAACGTAAGTGTGAGTAATAGTATAAAAACTAGAAAGGAGATAAAGAGAAGCTCGTATTAGCTGATGAAGAAGGGCAGAACCCAGGCACAAGGACACATGAGTCACCAAGAAAATATAAAGCTAATTTATTTTTCTGGTTTCAATCCCACCATAGTTTTTTTCTTTAATTGTGGTGGATACTTAAATTCAAGTTCCTGGGTATGGAAGTAGCAAGAACCATTCTTACATTCCAAAAGAACCCATTTGTTGTTGGGGTTGGACTTTTCAGTTCCATCGATCATGAGTACAGTAGGAATGAGTTGTAACTAACTAGTCATGAATACATGTGTCCTATTGACCTGCTTAGAAAAGGTGATTTTTAAAATTTAAAAAATTTTAAAATTCTATTTAAAGTCCATCAAATTGTTCTGTTATAGTATTATTTAACATGTAAGCCATGTTGTTATACCTAAGATAAAGTGTGATATTTAAATATAAAAATAAGAATGATTTTGTATTGTTTATGGTATAATGACAAGAACAAAAACTCTGTAAGTTGGATAGACACTCATTTTCTTCAGATACTTTTTGTCTACAATCAGTCAGATGTATGTATGTGGAATGCACAGATGGAGAGAGCTGATCACATTTTCATATAAGGATATAATCAGAAACCTTTTTTGTTGTTGTTGTTGTTGTTTTTTGTTTGTTTGTTTTGTTTTTCGAGACAGGGTTTCTCTGTGTAGCTTTGCGCCTTTCCTGGAACTCACTTGGTAGTCCAGGCTGGCCTCAAACTCACAGAGATCCGCCTGGCTCTGCCTCTCGAGTGCTGGGATTAAAGGCGTGCGCCACCACCGCCCGGCTCAGAAACCGTGTTAAAGGAGTATAATAAAAATATTTAACAGACTGAAGTGGCAGCTGCCCCTTTGTAGCAAGGTCCTGTGTATGGATCCGGGCATCTTTTACAACCTTGCTCCCTGGAGGATAGTCCCTGGACAGTAGCTCTAACACTGGTGAGGAATTAGTAGATGTGAATAACCCCAGGCCCCGCTCTGAACTGACTGGATCTGAATATCAGTCTAACAAGTGTAGCCTGGTCCAGACACTAAAACTGGAGAAGTGTTGCTTTATACAGAGACCCCGCTTTAAACTTTGCTGTTTTTCTGCATTTTTAAAATTTATTTTGCCAGTTAAGAAGACTTGACTGTTTTCTCTAAGTGAATTAATCAGACGTGAATTACTGTGGGTAGTCTGTGCCATGATTTCTTCAACATGGTGTTCCCTCTTTCCTCCCCATCTGCTGCACGTGCTAGGCCACTGATACATACTGCCCTTTGGATTGACCATATAGAATGATAAACCTTGTGGAAGGTGCATTTGCCTACACCAACAGGGACTAGGTTGTCTCTAAATGAAATCACACACTGTGTTCCAAAGTGTCACACCCATATCTGTGGAATGTGCACACAACAGGCCACCAGTGTAGTCCAGGAGAAATATTTCACTACCACCACTAGGTGGAAATAGAGTGATTTTGAGCATCTTTGTTTAGGGCCATGAGATATCGTTCGAGTATTTCCTAAGTTGGGGCTCAGAGACAGAGGTAACTTTGCCTCTGCCTCATCTGTTCTCAGGTGATTAGAGGAAAAGCTGTCAGGAACTCTCCGTCCTTCATTTATTTCTGTCCATAGATAACCCCCTTTGACAGGGCTGTTGAGTAACTCTCTGCAGCTGTTTTGGAGAATGGCTGGGTATCCCCTTTAACACAGGCACTGTGGTTTTCAAAGAAGAAAACTAGAAGTTCAGAACTGAATTTTTATCATTCCCTGTTTGGGTGAAACACCAGTCTAAGGCCTTTGGCATGGATTTCTTGGTGGCCTCTTCAGATTTGATCATTAACTTGGGCTCATTCCAAAAGGAAGTGTACACATTGTTAAAGCCACCAGCCCAGACAGCACTGGCTGCTCCTAAGAGATCAAGGCTGGCTATGCCTAAGAAATTACTAACCCACTCACACCCAAGATGGCCCTGTAGGCTAAGGGTGCATTCTGCGGGCCAGGAATGTGTGAGAATCAGGACGTACCCACAGGCTTGTAGATGATGTCTATTTCAGATAGACTTTGAGCTGGATGCAGACTACTCAGTATGTGGAAAAGAATACCAACAGTAACTGCATAGTGAGATGGTAGCTGTGCTCTCAGACCACGTGTTCAGGTGCTGGAAATAGTCACAGCTAATGTGTGCGAGGTGGGGATGATATATGAAATCAGGAAACCCAGGATATAAAAGTGTGCAAATGTTAATATGAACGATATGTATATATAGCTTATGTATTCACATAGTTTAATCCTCAGATGCTCAAGTGAGGCACCCAAGAGTTAGGTGTTGACTGTGTTACCCTGATGATACATCAGTAAACAAGGCCTTGCTAGTTGCATCAGACACTAATGGGTATTGCAGTTGTATGCCTCTCCAAGATGTATTTAACTACAAAAGGATTAGTTCTACTCATCAAAGCAAAAATTAATGCATTGATACTGAATCTTGGCTATCATCACCACATTGGATCCAACACTGGAGAAAACGTGTGGAGACAACTCTTGATGAGGTAGAGCCTAGGCACAAGGGAGCAGCCTGCCAGGGGCTTCCAAACCAGAAACAGCAGCACTTATGTCAGGAGCCAGTGATGGGCTTAGTGTCTGGGAGAGCATCATTGCTTTCTGATCAATGGACTCTTAGATGTGGGTACTCAGGCCCTTCCTGGGACAGTAACATGGCCAGGTCAGTGTGTAAATGGTACTGTGGGAACACTGGGGTTCAGAGTAGGAACTTGTAATAAAGGAGATGCAGGCCAGAAAATTTCTTGAAGCATCCTAGATGCTTCTCAGATTTTAATTGTGTGAGGGATGATACAATAATTAGTGTCTTGGCAGAGTGGCTGTGGTCTCTGCTCTCACCTCCCTCACAGGCACTGTGAACAAAAGACAGGCAGGTGTGGTCATGTTTCACAAGGTCTTTCGTGAGAAAGTCCTCGAAGCAGATTCTGGTTCTACTGCTCCCCGGCACCAACTTTCCTTACCTCATTTCCTCTTCCCCCAAACTGGGATAACCCTCCTCAACGATCAGTGGGCATTAGAGTTCAGGGATGTAAATGCCAGGAAAGACCATGTAGTGCATAGTAGATACTCAATAAACTGACATTGTCTCCAAGGCAACAGCTGGTCTGTGTGGCAACACTTTCATTTCAGTCCATACGACCTCCCATGAGGTGTGGGAGCAGCCAGTAAGATTCTGTGAAAAATGACACTCTGAAAAGATCCACAATCCATACACAGAGAGTATTACCAGGGCAAGAAGTAAACTGAGGGGCTCAGTCAGAGAGGAATGTTGGGGCTCAAAACATATCACAACCATATATGACCTTAGTAGGTGAAAATATGGAACCCTCAGATGTCTGAGAAGCCAGAGGTTGACGTCAGCTGTCTTTTTCAGTTGCTCTCTGCCTTGCTTTTTGAATGACAGGGTCTCTCACTGAACCCGAAACTTGACAAACAGCTGTACTGGCTGAACAAGTGAATGCCAGCGATCTGTCTTTCTCCAAGCCCTCAGTTCTGGGGTTGCAGACACCTGCACCCAGCTTTTATGTGAGTGCTGGGGATCTGAAGCAACCACTGTACTCCTCACATGGGAATCAGCATTACCGAAGTGCAGATGTGAATAAATTTGTTTGGAGTTGCTGTCTATACCCAAACCTAGTAAAAGTCACGGCTCAGCTGCCCTCAGATAGACTCAGGACAATCACATTAGCCTGTAGGTGGGCAAAATTATCTAATACAAACCTGTGCTATAACAAAGCGTGGAATCTCATAGGTTAACTTATTAAATACTGTACTGAAAGTGAAAATTAATAGTTGTGTGGTAGACTTTCCCCAATGACGTGTATATTTTATTCTTGACTTTCTCTGTGCCGTGACAACTTTGGCAGGGTGTGTTGGACATGCCTGAAATCCCAGCACTTGGTGGCTGAAGACATGATCAGGAGCTCAAGGTCCCTTTTGGCTACATAGGAAGTGTGCGGTTAGCCTAGGCTGTAGGAGACCCTGTTCAACTTGGCCTCTCCATAACCTTTATTCCTCTTCTCACTGTCTCATAAAATAGGCTCCCTTTGTCTTCCCGAATCCTCCAGATTCTTTTAAGTTCTGTAACTCGGGATGCCATCTATCTGTCAGCTCCTGTCACCTGACTGTCCTTGGAGCTGCATATTTTGTGGGACTTCTGTACATATCAAAGTGATAAAATATGATTTTTTTTTTAAAGATTCATCAGTGTATTCGAGGCCGCTTACTAATTCATAGCCCAGCCCAACAACCTCGAAGATGGAGGGAAGTAATCATTTTGATCCCTTATAGGGAATGGAAACGAGTAAAATTCTCCAGTGGCAACGGCAGTCATAGAAGCCGAAACTTGCTACGGTTTAGTGGAGAAACGAAATTTCCAGAGTCATTCTAATCTTACCCAGCACCACCCAAGAGGAGGTCCTGGTGAGGCCCCCGGTGGCGGGAGGGTGGGGTCAGCAGGTTCTTTCGGAGGGAGTAGGATGTGGGTTTGTCAAGGTTAAGGAGACTGCAGTTTATCAATTAACTCATTGATCGGCCAATCAATGCCCATAGCGCCAGGCGTTGGCTCATCAGCTCCTGTCGTGCAGGGCGGCGGCAGGGCGGTGGGACCACGGCGCGCAGGCCGGTGGGGTCCAGGCTGTCCGTGGTGGTGGGGTGTTTCCTGGGCGCGCGGACGCGCGGGACTGTGCCGGAACTGTCACTGGGGGAGGAGTAGGGCGCGCCAGGCCAGTCTCGGCTTGCAGGAGCTGCGGGAGCTGCGCGGCCTCCCAGCCGGGCGGGCGCAGCGAGGGTGGCACCTTCAGACCCCCGGCACGGCCCGGGGCGCATGGGGCCGGGGCGTGGCGAGGGGGCGTGGCCTGGGCGAGGCGCACCTCCTATTGGCTGTCCGACACCTCCCCACACCATGGCGATATAAGCCGCGGTGGCGCCCGGAGCCGCACAGCGCCCCCGCCACCGCGTCTCCCTGCTGCTGCTGCTGCTGCTGCTGCTTTGGTGCCCGCCCGCTCGCCCGCCCGCCATGGCCAGCCTTAAGGACCTCGAGGGGAAGTGGCGCCTGACGGAAAGCCACGGCTTTGAGGAATACATGAAGGAGCTAGGTGAGGCTACACCGCCGAGCCCCCGGGTCCTGATCCGCATGCTGGCATCCCCCCCGTGGGATGTGTGGGTTCCCTTCCACCACGCGGCCCCGGGTGCTGGGCGGAGCACCATGCGGCCGTTAGGATGGAGTGCGCGCCTTCGCCGCCGGGTTCGGGACGTGGCGAACCGCCCCACCTCTCTCTTTTTTCTGTTTCTCGCCCGCGAGGCAGCCAGCCCCTCATTGCTTCCGGTCCTGCAGGGGCGCGTGCCAGACGTCCTGCTGTGGACCCCCTACAGTCAGCCCACTCAAAGTTCCGTTGTTGTTATTCCTGTCCCCAACCCGGTGCCGCCGTCCTGCCACACCACCTGACCCCATCGTGGCAGCACCCACTCCCCATGCCCACCCGGCCGCATCTTTTGTTCCTCGATGGCGCGACTCCCCTCCCCCCATCTCCGTGGGGACACCGTGTGGTAGGGCGTGGTTTCTGCAGGAGCCCTTTAGAGGCGGTGAATGAGGATGCTGCTCAGACCTCTTTCTCTGCAGCATCTCTCAGGTCCTCTCCTCGCCCCTGGCTAGGCGTGGCTCCCGCGGCGCTGGACCGGCTGCTGGCTGGCTCTGCTCATTCTGGACACAGCAGTGGGCAGCTGGTGGCCTATGGGCGAAGCACGGAGAAAAACCCCATGTGCATGGCTGTAGCCCTGCGACTGATCTGTTCTGTCCCTTGAGTCTGGAGGGTGAGGAGCAAGGAGACCGTGGGCTTGGCTGGAAAACCATAATCAGAAACTGCTGGCCTGGGGTTGCTCACTGCTATATGATGGGTGTGGCCTTGCAGCAGCCACTTGCCTCTTAAAACCTAGCCAGAGAGTGAGCAAGGTTCAAGTTCACTCTCACTGGAAGTAGTGCTTCGTTTTCTGTTGCCACTTTTGCCTACTCTTTTTTTTTTTTGGTTTTTAGAGACAGGGTTTCCCTGTGTAGCTTTTTACCTTTCCTGGAACTCGCTTTGTAGACCAGACTGGCTTTGAACTCACGGAGATCCGCCTGGCTCTGCCTCCTGAGTGCTGGGATTAAAGGCGTGCGCCACCGCTGCCCGGCGGTCACCTTTGCCTGCTCTTAAGAGAGGGATAACATGTAGACACATAGAGCAAACAAACAAAACGGACCTTTGTCGCAGATGCCAGGAAGTAGGATGGGGTTAGCTGAACAGGGATGCTCTCCAGAAAGGTGCTGCTGGGACTAGGAGACAGCTTTTCAGGCTTCTGTCCCCAGTATCCCAATGACACCCTTCAGAACCAGCCTTCATTCTCTTCTAGCCAGTATCCAGCACGCTGCAGGGTTCCGCCTGGCCTCTGGTGAATCATGCCTGTATTTATAATGTTGTCAGTAGAATGTGAACGCAGATTTTCGTCTCTTTCCTTTTACCCAGTGGGAAGACTAAAGTGAGTCTGGAAAGTGCCATTTGCTGGCCTCACCCAAGACTTCGTGAAGGTGCACAGGTGTGAGCGAGGACCAGTAGAGAGCACTGTTTGAAAGCAACCGGGTGCTTAGGCTTGAGTTGCTGGTTCCCGGGCATTCTGGAGTTAGGAGGTTATCAGGCCTGACCCATAGACATCCGGGCAAGCGGAGCACAGCAGAAGGGTTCGGGATCACAGAAACCTGGATGAGCATCGTGATAAATCGTTCCACTTGGGTCATCGTCTCCTCTCTTGTGAAAATATCCCAGGTTCCTTAGGAGTGTTGTCACCAAGGAGGAGTACATAGGTTATAAGCTAATGCGTAACTCAGTAATGTGGAATTTCACACCTGTGTAACTACTGTAAAGAAACAGACTACACAAAAATCAGCCAGATAGTCAAATCGTAGTGTTTTCAGATTGCACTGGCAGGTTCCTAGTACACAGAAAGAGCCTTACCATGGAAAGTATGTTGTTACACAGCTTTGAAATGTTTGCTTTTCCCAGGGTGGACCCCCACCACCACTACCACCCCCACCACACACACACACACACACACACACACACACACACACACACACACACAGGAACATCGCAGCTGTGTTACGTACTATACTATTTGAATCCCTCAGGATTGATTTTTTTTTTTTTCCTTTTCTTTTCGGCATATTCTGTTAACTGTTTACCAGGGGCCTGGTGTGTGCCAGCTGGAGAATACAGTAGTTGACAGAATCTGATATGTAGGACTGAACTAGGATCTAAGTTTGCAACTTTAAATACTTTATTTTCACCATCGCCCAACTGCCTCTTAATTTTGTTTTGTTTTGGGGGCAAGGTTTCTCTGCAGCTTAGACTGACCTCAAACTCTTGATCCTCCTGCCTCCACCTCCTGAATGCGGGAATCACATGTGTGTGTCACCATGCCGGGGCGGGCCTATGTCAAGGGCTTTAGTTAAGGTTAAGGAGTAAAGTCTTGCCTGACTTGCTGAGGACGTAGCTCAGCGGCTAACAGCAGAGCTTTAGAACCACGTCGTCAGCACTCTCGGCCTCTGTTCTGTCACTTTCTGGCTAAAGGTGCTTGCCCAGCTCTCTTCAGTCCGGTGGCGACATCACCGCCCGCACCCACAAGCTCGGGACGACCATGAGGCTTACATGCGTTCTGTTGCAACACGCTGGACATGTGCATGTCAGTGAGTGGGTGAGAGTAGGCCAGGCTGACGAAATGATTAGGACTAAATCATGGCTTCTGTTGCGTCAATTTTAACTGATCCTTACGTTACTTCCTGTTACGCAGGGGTAGGACTGGCTCTTAGGAAAATGGGTGCCATGGCCAAACCAGACTGCATCATTACTTGTGACGGCAACAATGTCACCGTCAAAACCGAGAGCACTTTGAAGACGACACAGTTTTCTTGTACCCTGGGAGAGAAGTTTGATGAAACTACAGCCGATGGCAGAAAAACTCAGGTCAGCTATAACATATTGTGAGATGAGAGAAGCTTCTAGAACGACAGATTAGGTTGCATTAACAACAGCTTTACTTACTGCCAAGAACTTAGTGTGAAAATTATTTTGTGAAGTTGAATTTATTAAAATTAGTAAAAGTCCCAGGACTGTAAAATGAAAACATCTTACAAGTTTCCAGTTCAAAAAGCACATAGTTGTATTGTGAATAAAGTCAGTAGGGTGGGTGTGGGTCATAGGAACTCGTGTACTCGGGAAGACTGAGGAGGCCCTTGTGTTTCTGCAGACGGTCTGCAACTTCACAGACGGTGCCCTGGTTCAGCACCAGAGCTGGGATGGGAAGGAAAGCACAATAACAAGGAAGATCAAGGACGGGAAGTTGGTGGTGGTAAGTGCCAAACTGCTTGTGTCGCCCTGGGGTTCGCGCTGGTGGTCACAGTTGCCATAACTGTTCTTGGTCATTTTTTTTTTTTTTTAACAAGAGAAGGAGATTTAGGAAGAAAATATTCAAATTAACAATTTAAAACTAAGGCAGCCCTTGGTGGGATGGAGACTTGATGTGATTCCCAAAGTGTAGCTGGAACAGTTTCTTCCTGCTGCATCCCTGAGAGCTTGGCAGCCTACCAAGCAGCTTTCTCGGACATATATAGATATTTCCATTTATTTAAAGTAAGGGATATTTTCCAAAACCAAATGAGTAATGTAGAGATCATATTCAGGGCTTTGGTCTTCAGGATAGCAAATGTACATATATACAAAACAGCAGGTCCCAGCTCTTCTCAAGTCCAAAAATGCTAAAATGCCTTTTCTCCATTGGCAAGGTCTGTGACGAGATTTTACAGGATCCTGGCCGTAGCGTGTTATTATCACCCCTGCTCTGGAATGTACAGCCAGCCTGACTTTGTATCTTTCTTCTTCTAGGATTGTGTCATGAACAATGTCACTTGTACTCGAGTCTATGAGAAAGTGGAGTAAGGATTTTGTCACCACCCTGGACAGGAGTTAGCTGCAAGAGTGAATAAGCTCAGTTCAATGAGCAGGTCATAAATATCCATACTACTTCTTTTCTTCAGTTTTATTTTTCATGACTGTGTTCGATTGTCTTTATCACCAACACTTTACGTGAAAGCCATGTCAAAGTGTTGATTTACCTAGGATCTTTCCTTTGGTTAGTAAATAAACGTGTTTGTGCTAATTCATGATGTGTGTGTGTTCTTCAAGGTAGTGGAAATTGGTGACATTGTAATATTTAGCAATTGAAAAACTCTGAGGTATTCTTCTGGGTCCCTCATGGCTAATATATCCTAGCAATTTATAGGCTTGGCCAGCTGCTTTTGCAGTGAATACATGCCCAATCATTTAAGCTTGTTCTACACTGTTTGAACTTTGTGTCAACTCAAGAATTTGAGACTATTCTTATTAAAAAGTAGCTTCATAAACTTTATAATATAAAGGAAGATCCAAGCTCATACTTTTAAGTGGTGTGATTATAACATTCATAAACTGCAATGGAACATTCGTTTAGTGGTCTGAGGACGTGCCAACTACTGGGAACTTTTCTGGGTTGAGAAAATCTGAACACTGGACAAATGCAAAGACTCTCCCAGCTTTAGAATATGGTGTGCTCATCATAAGTTATAAAAGCTCTACAGCTCTCAGGTCCTTCTGTGTGCGTTTCTATTTGGAAGTCCATGCTATACTATGTGAAGAGTTGAGTTTTAGTGAAGCTCTCTTGCATTTCTCCTCAAATACAAATACCCACAATCCACATTTGAGAAATAGGTTGTAGGTACAGATCTTTGTGTACACATTCTCCAGAACAACATCAGAGGGGCTGACACTGTTATCTGTATTCTGCAAACAAGGGAATGGTTGTTTGACTAGCTAACTTGTTCAAGGACATAGGAAGTAGAGCTGGGTTGCAAAACTCACTTTGCCATGTCCACTTAATGCATCTGGTCATTTCTCAGCACAGCCTCTTCCTGGCATGTGCTCGCTGAGTCTAAAGTCCCTAAGTGAATTCAGACTTCTGTGACCACCTTCCATGTACAAGCATCTCAGAAATTACCTAGTCAGACCTGTAATGCCAGTGCTTAAGCAGCTGGACCATGAGTTTCATGTTAGCCTGGGCTACATTCAGGACCCTGTCTCAAAAAGAGACATTCTGGCCAGTGTGTAGCCATGAGCCACATGTGCCCACTGGGCACTAGAAATGTGGCAGGTCTGAGTTAAGCTGTGCATAATAGGACTTCAAAACCCTGGTATGAAAAGTAGACTATCTCAGTGATTTTTCTTGGGATGGGTGAGATAGGATTTCACTGGGGAACCTGCAGGCTTGCCTCCTTCTGAACACTGGCATTACAGTGCGCCACCACACCCAGCTCATGTATTTGTTTTTGATTGGACAAATGCTTTGTATGGCTTAGTCATCTTTTTTTGCGGGGTGGGGGTGGGGGTGTCTCCATGCCTTTTTGTTTTCTGATAGCTGTAGACATTTTACATTCTCTCTGACCCAAACACTGGGCTAAGTACTTCAAGCATTTGGGATCGCTTGGAGTGGGTTCACCTCACATGGACTGCTACCAACCCCCATGTTTTAATACCTGTACTGATGATGTTCACAGCTGTAGTGTCTCCCCGGGTCCACATTTCCTACATGGCAGAACAGTTGGTATTTTGGGTGAGGGAACTTTGTTTTAGATTGTGGCAAGCAGCTCAGGTTACAGCTACAAAATGGCCAAGCACCTACCACTGTGTCCCAAGCACTTCATATATTTCTAGGTACCCCCTAAGGTTCCATATGCCAAGCTGAAGATCATAGGAGACCAAATGCATCTTAACCTTTTGGCACCTCGGTTCTGCTTCTCTATCAGCCAGGACACTGAGAACCAGGAGCCTCATCGATGGTTTTTGCTTCCTTTTAAATGATTGAACTTGCACTGTACTAGATTTAGTTCTGGAACACATGGGATCTCTTGTGCTTTTGGGAGATGTGCTTGTACCCCAGGTCCATCAGATCTGATTTCTTTGCTACCTCAGTGTTCCATTGACAGTAATTGCATAAGCAATGCCTCATTCCACACGAGTCTAGCATTTCTAAACCCTAGTTGGCTGATGTGAATGCTTGGACAGATAGTCCTGGAATCCAGCCCTTTTCTTTACCCCTGAGCAATCTTGTGACTTAAGACAAAGGACTTAACTCCTGTGAATCTTAGTTACATTCTGCTTCAAAGGAGGGAACACTGGTGGAACATTCTTAAATATTAAGACACAATGTGTGTAAAGTGACTAGTACAGGGTCTGGAATGATGGTAAAGGTTCCAGGCCCCACCTGTATCACCCAGTAGAATTTTCTGTGATGGTAACGGCAGGAATGCTCTCTGATGTCTTCTCCGTCCATGAAGGCGGGCACTAATGGCATGCGGGTAGATACCGCATACTTGAAATGTGAGTGCAACTGAATAGAGTGATTTAATGTTAGAAATAAAAATTTAAATACCTGCATATAGCTAGTGGTTCTGATTTGAACAGCCCAGGATGCTAGCCTGATGTTTTTCCAAAGTCAGATTTCTTATTTTCATTCCAAATCCATTTCTCTTATAGTATTCGCCCCAATCCACAGGAATGCATATATATATATATATATATATATATATATATATATATATATATATATATATATATATATATATAGTTTTTCGAGACAGGGTTTCTCTGTGTAGCTTTTGCACCTTTCCTGGAACTTGCTCTGTAGTCCAGGCTGGCCTTGAACTCACAGAGATTCGCCTGCCTCTGCCTCCTAAGTGCTGGGATTAAAGACGTGAGCCACCACTGCCCGGCTGCTTTTTTTTTTTTTTTTCAGTTTCCAGGTGATGCTTTGAAGTTATCTTTCTTTCTGTCTTTAAAACTGCCTATCTAATAATGCTATTTGTTTTACCTTCAGAATATAACTAGACTTCAGTGACTTCTCAGTGTCTCCACACTCCACCCTGGGTCGGACGGACCCTGCTTGCATCTCTCCACTTCCCTACCTGCTTGTGTCTTTGTCCTCCCAGTTACCACTCGAAAAACAGGTTACAATACAGATGTTCACTAACTATAACAGGCCAGTATCCCCATAAGCCCAAACAGGAATAAGTATAAACTTGTATAAGCCCAGCATGAGTAAAAACTGCCGTGATGGCCCGGGGAGATGGTTCATGGTAAGTGGTTACTCTGAAGGCATGAGGACCTGAGTTTGAATCCCCAGCACTATGGAAAGAGCCAGACATGGCTGAACATGCTTGTAATCCCAGCACTGGGAGCAGAGACAGGCGAGTGAATCTATCTGAAGCAGTGATTTTCTGGTTCAGTGATCTAGAGCAGTGGTTCTCAACCTTCCTAATCCTGCGGCCCTTTAACACAGTTCCTCATGTTGTGGTGACCCCCAGCTGCTGTGGAACAATTTTTTTGTACACTATGAACATGTATTACTTTCATTTGTTAATAAAAAGCTGAATGGCTGGTAGCTGGGAAGGAAGAGCTTGAGCAGGAGAGCCAGACTAGGAGAATTCTGGGAAGATGAAAGGCGGAGTCAGAGAGTTACCAGCAAATGTAGAGAAGCAAGATGAGAATGCTGTGCTGAGAAAAGGTGCCAAGCCACGTGGCTAAACATAGGTAAGAATTATGGGTTAATTTAAGGGTAAGAGTTAGCTAGAAACAAGCCTAGCTATCAGTTGAGTATTTATAATTCATGTTCAGCCTCTGAGTCGGTTATTCAGGACTGGGTTGTTGAGACAGGAAATGCCCATTCACACCCAGCCATAAAATTATTTCGTTGCTACTTCATAACTAATTTTGCTACTGTTTTGAGTCATAATATAAATATCTAATATGCAGGATATCTGATCTGAGATCCCCACTGGGGTCAAGACTCACAGGTTGAGAACCACTTGTCTGGAGGCATTAAGGTGGAGAATGGTAGAAG